AATGGGGAGGGATGAGAGGGCAGGGTGAAGGAGTGACTATGGGGAGAGTCAACTAATAACGAGTTTCCCTTTTGAAAAGCCATATGGAAACCTACAACTCTAGAAACATCCTAAAATATACACATATATGAAAGGAATTTAAATGGAGCCACTAAGGGGGAGATAATGCCCCAACTAGACATCTTAAGCCATCAAGTTAAAATCTCCAGTGCCAGGACGGGTTACATATTGTTGAGTTGTTGACTAAACGGGTCCCAGAGGCCCTACCCCAAACATTACAGACTATTGGTTACCCTCCACAACCTGGTGGTAAGACTATATTGTTGAAGACATCATTTATTTATGTCATTGAACTTGGAGAAATCAAGCTGATGGCCAACTAGAAGCTTTACCATTACCGACTAACATTCATGTTGCTGGAAGATATTTTGCATGCTACCAGAGGAGAAAAGTAATCATCAATTATCATCTAACTACAAACCTGTGCTCTACAACAGCAACCTGCCTGCAAGATATACTGGTGCAATAGTAGCACAGACATTACGAGAGTAATCAGACATTTTTAATTGAATTGAAGGCCCACTCTATGAGATGGAACCCATACCTGGCATTGATGAAGTGGCCAAGAACCTGGGACTAGATAAGTCATGGGCCTTAGTGTAAAAGCTACTACTATTATTCTGCTAAAGGAACACAGCAATAAAGCGATTTCTAATGACATACAGCTATGCCTATAGATCAGTGCATAGTCCAGCCCTCATCAGAGAAGCTCTTCTTGCAGTAGATGGGAATTAACACAGACATCCACAATTAGACAATGTACAAAGTGAGAAACTTTTGAGCACTCATTTCTTAATGGCTCAAGGATCTAAGTGGAAAGGAGAAAGGCTGTAAGAGCCAGAGGTAGTAGAAAGATGACTTCAAGGAAACTGTCTTCCAGACACAACAGAGCTGATACATACCTGAACTCCAGAGACTGGGACAGCATGCACAAAACTACACAAATTCATATCAGACAAAAATCCCACCAATGCAAAGGGGACAAAAAGAAGCTATTTATAATTGTTCCCTGCTGGGAAAGGGAAACTCAGTTTTCCCCAATGGAGTGACACTGGATATATCAACCACACTCTAAGGCAGACCCCATGTCAAGGCCAACATAAAAAGGTCTCCATATTTTTGTGTGCTTTTGTTTTGCTTTGGTATGTTTTATCATATATTTGGTCTTATTTTTTGTTTTAATTTTCATTTTGCTTTGTTTTTTTTGAGAGAGCGAGAGCGAGAGCGAGAGAGAGCGAGAGAGAGAGAGCAAGAGAGAGAGCGAGAGAGAGAGAGAGAGAGAGAGAGAGAGAGAGAGAGAGAGAAAACATGAAGTTGGGTGGGTAAGAAGGAGGGGAGGATCTGGGAGCAGTTGGGGAGAGGAAAGAATATGATCAAAATATATTGTATAAAACATTGAAATAAAAAGTTAAGAGTATATTATGAATAAAATTTTTTACCCATAAATTAATTAATCTAGATGAATGGAACAGTTTGTTGAAAGACAATCTCCTGAGACCTAGTCAAGAAGAAAAATACAGGGCTGAGTATAATGATACATGATTGTAATTTTAGTTTCTCAGGAAGCTACAGTAGGATTGCTTGAGCTCAAGAGTTCAGGGACAGTCTGGGCAAAACAAAGAGACATTTTCTCTTAACAAAATATGAAAATAAAGTTGGGTGGTGGTGACACACACCTTTAATCCCAGCACTTGAGAGGCAGAGGCAGGTAGAGCTCTGAGTTTGAGGCCAGTCTGGTCTACAGAGTGAGTTCCAGGGCCAGGGCTACACAGAAAAACTCTGTCTCAAAAATGAGAGAGAGAGAGAGAGAGAGAGAGAGAGAGAGAGATTTATAGAATTGATATAGTTTGTCTCTTAAATGTTTGGTAGAACTTACCAGTAACACTATCTGGGCCTGGTACTTTGTATTCGGGAAGCTTACTAATTATTTATACAATTTGTTCTCTCTCTCTCTCTCTCTCTCTCTCTCTCTCTCTCTCTCTCTCTCTCTCTCTCTTTTGAGACAGGGTTTCTCTGTGTAGCCCTGGCTGTCCTGAAACTCAACTCTGTAGACCAGGTTGGCCTCAAACTCACAGAGATTGGCCTTCCTCTGCCTCCCAAGTGCTGGGATTAAAGGTATGTGCCACTACCACCTAACTCTATAAATCTCTTTTAGAAGACAAAAACAGAAGGAATATTTATCAAACTCATTCTATGAGGTCAGCATTATTTTAATACCCAAACCAAAGAAATAACAATTAAAAGAAAATTGTAGACCAACATCTCTCATGAACATTGATGTCAAAATCTTCAACAAACATTAGAGAAATCTTACCCAATATTGTATGAAAGAATTGTATGACATGAAAAACAGAATTTGTCCCAAGTTGGAAGACTTATCCAACATGCAAAAAACTCCTGATAAATGTAAGCTTGGTATGGTGGCTCACATCTATAATGCCAGCATTCAGGAGACTGAGGCAAGAGGATTGTGAGTTTGAGGCCAGTGTAGGATACATGGTGAGCTGCAGGCCAGCCTAGGTGACTTAGAGCAAGGCCTTATCCTTCAAAAAATTAAAAAACCTCTTAATCATATTTACAGGCTAAATAAAAAATACATCAATATATTCAGAAACACAATACTCATTTGTAATAAAATCTCTTCAGAAAACAAACAATAGGCAATTTCTTTAACTTGTTAAATACTTATAAAACACAAACTCCTACAGTTGATATATGAAACAGTGAGAAACTAAGAGGACTGCCATTAAGATGAGGAACAAAGTCGGAATATCTCCTCTCATCCCTCCTCTTCAACATCACAATGGAAGTTCTAGGTGATGCATTATGATGTGAAAAGAAAAGTATACACATTAGCAATAAAAAACCTTCCCTGGACTACAAATGATTTTCTACATAGAAATAAGAAAAAATAAAAAGAAAAAAAAAAACAAGCAAAAAAACCCAAAAACAACCTGGAACTAAAAAGTAATTGTAAAAGGCTGCAGAATATAAGGTTAATATTTAAAAGTCATTTTGCTCTATACTAACAATGTTTTAATGAAAATACATTATCATTTACAATAGTTCCAAAGGAGTAATATTTAGGCATTAACATAATAAGATATGAGACTTTATTAGTAATATTGTTATTCTGAAGAAAAAAAAAACGAAATCAAAGTACCAAATTAGTGGAGAGCATAATATAACTCACTGTTAAGAAATTAATCTTTCTCAAATTGATCTTGAGATTCTACATAATCCCAGTCATAACCCCAGAAAGTAGGGCTGGAGAGATGGCTCGGTGGTTCTCTTGCAGAAGACCAGGGGTTTGGTTCTTGGCACCCACACTGGATTGCTTACAACTGCCTGTAACTCCAGTTCCAAGTATCTGACGCCCTCTTCTGGCCTCCATATGCATCAGCACACATGTATACATACACACTTAAGTACATACACGTACACTTAAAAAAAAAAAGTCCCAGAAAATTATTTTCTGGATAGCTACAAAAGGAACCTGAGTTTTGCACAGAGAGGTAAAAGACCCAGACTAACCAATATAGTATTAAAGGTGAAGAAAAAAGTTGGGGACCTGAAACTTCAAGACCTCAAAACTTAGTACATAGCCCTGAAGCCATGGCACTTTAATATTGGTAAGTAAATAGACAAACAGAACAGATATAGAGCCCAGAAATAAACTCACAGGAGGAGTCACCTTGTTTTTGACAAAGGAGTAAAGGCAGTCTCCTCAACAAATTGTGTTGAACAACTGAATATTCACATGTCAACCCTTCCCTAACCAAAAGTCAAACAATAACAAAATGTCTAGACAGACCTTGTACATGATACAGGAAGGCCCTGCATTTTGAAGTTATTTGGAGAGGAAACCATGGCTGAGTAGCCCTTCTGCTCTAACATTTTAGAGTCTGTGCAGAGACAGACTTAACCCATTTAACAGCAAGGAGGTCATTCTCATTTCTTAGACATCCCTGAGGAAGATAGGGTAACTATAGAGTAAGTTTTCACATAAATATCTCAATGCATACATACAAATGAGTACTTTAAGATCACCCCACCGGGAAGGTAAGTATATGCTTTAAAGGGATAGGTATTTTACAGTTAACATTATACATAGTTTATAAAATGGGGACAGATAGGACTTTTGTGTGTACCAGCCTATAACACACACACACACACACACACACACACACACACACACACACACACACACACACACACACGGCTGATTAGCCATTCTCATCAGCTACCAAATTTTACTTTGAACCAATCATCCGTTGTCTGGTCTCCAAAGTAAAATTCATTTTCACCATCAAGGTTTGCCTTCATTAAGATTGCTTTTTAAAATTCAGAAGCTTTTCATCCAAACTGAAATGGTGGTAGCCTCATGGAATATAGCTATAAGGCTTCTGAAAGGTAGAAGGGATCATTAAGAAGGGAATGACCCAAGATGAGCATTACTTTAAACTGGGCCAGCAAGCTCTGAGTGTTTCCCTGTTCCTTGAAACCAGCCCCAGTTTCCCAGGTTTGAGTTCACAGAACAATTACCCCAGTTGTGTGTGTGTGTGTGTGTGTTGTGTGTGTTTTATTGCTCTGACAAAATGAAAGTTTCTCTGAGACTATTTCAAATGCCATAGAGAATTTTTTTAAGATTTATTTATTTATTATGTATACAGTGTTCTGTCTGCATGTATGCCAGATCTCATTACAGATGGATGTGAGCCACCATGTGGGTGCTGAGAATTGAACTCAGGACCTCTGGAAGAATGGCTAATGCTCTCTTAACCGCTGAGCCATCCCTCCAGCCCCTGAGAATTTTTTTTAAACTTAGGTCCTACCTAGGTTTACACATGGACAGAGTTATTTATTGGTAGAAGACAAGAGGAAATGTAGACACTATGCCTCAGGGTCAAACTGCAGCTAGTTCCATCCTCTGCTCTTACCTGTGGGGGCCTGCATGGCTGAACTGGGGATGGTGGCAGCATCTTGGGGAACAGTGCTGGTATCCGGTTCAGGGGTGCTGGTTGTTGGTGAGGTGGGTGGTGGGCTCAGCAAAGTCCGAGGTTTCCTCTGTTAAAATGGATGGGGAAAAGTTTGCTACCCATGAAAGGTAACGTCATTTTTCGTTCCTTTATTCCTAGCACTCAGTACACCCATGAAATGAACATATTTATGAATGGAACCACATTTTATTTTGTACTCAGTAACTGGCTCCAAAGTTGTACATATTCAAAGTACTTAGTAAACATTTTTCTGAATGTATGTACATGATTTTGGTCTTCTACAGAGAAAGAGCTTAATGTACTTTTATGCTAGATTCAGTATCATAAGAACTCCAAATCCTTTGTAAATTGGGCAGATAAAAGCAGAAAACATGCTAGGGCTGAATGTTACTACTTTGTTTCTTTCTTTAAATGGAAATGAACCTTTTGACTCTACCAGCTGCTTTTTTCTGCCTCCTTTCTTCAGCTTATTACCTGCTACTCCTTCCCTTAATAATCTAACAGTTCCTGATTACACGACTTCTCTAAAACCCTGCAATTTTATCTGGCTCACATCTTTACAATTTTAAGATTCTCTTCAATGGGAAATGTTTTCTCTTGTTTACAGTATAAATTTATGTCCATCTAGGAAGCTCTCTTACTTTTCCTCCTAACTCCATACTTTGTATTGTCCATGTATTATTATTACCTGCTTGCACTGTGATGCTCCTATTAACTTAGAGCCCTGTGAAGGTCTGAGTATCATTCCTCACATGGCCCTTGACATATAAGTATTAATAAATGTTTATCATGAAGCATACAATACAGATTACCAATAATGGGGGTAATTAAGAAGATCTGAGAGAAACCTATTATTGTTATTATTTTTTGCTGGAACTTAGGATGTTTCTAGAAACGTTTCTAAAAGCCTTCTGGTATACAAGGAAACCACTACCAAGATCCAAAAATCCTCTTTCACAAAGTGCTTGTGTAAGGTACACTGTTGTACAAACCTGTCTTCCTTCTAGGGACACATACTCTAGAGAGATCTGGTGACAGTAGCAGCCATACATCAAATGGCTTCACATGAAGAAGCCATCATGCAAAACCCTCATTAGAAATGGACATATGCTTACATTATCAGATACTTCTGAGAGTAGAATTCCATGTAAGTAGTAAGTCATGATAGAAGGGAAATAAATGAGTTGGTGCTATTATTTCAAGGATCCCTCAGAGAGAAGCCTGGTGAGTTGAATACCCAAATATTGTAGAAGAGAGCAGAAAGATGGAAGGTATCATTAGCATTTTAGATGGGTGTAATTACATGTTTTACACAGATTCATGCATTAACTTAGCTCCATTTAACAGGGGAGAAGGGGGCTCAGCACCCCATGGAAAGAAACTGTTCCAAAGTCACATAGGTGACCATAAATGGGGATGAGACCAATGCTGTGGGATGTCTTTCTGTACGCTGTGAATATGTTGTTCCCACTGGTTAATAAATAAGCTGCTTTGGTTTATGGCAAGGCAGCTTAGAGGCAGGTGGGAAATCCAAGAAGAGAGACAGGAAAGAGAAAGGCTGAGTCTGGAGAGATGCCAGAGGCCACCGAAGGAGAAGGAAGATGGCAGCAGACCGGTAATGTCATGTGGTAAAACATAGATTAATAGAAATGGGTTAATTTAAGATGAAAGAGCTAGCTAGAGGCCTGCCATAGGCCATACAGTTTGTAAATAATATTAAGCCTCTGAATGATTATTTTATAAGTGGCTGAGGGATCGCGGGGGCCTGGCGGGACCAGAGGAATGTGAGGCCAGACGGGACCTGAGAAAACCTTCCGACTACAGACCAAAGTCTAAATGTGTCTGGTTTCTAAGACTTTCTTTTTGTTTCAAAAAGAAGCAGTGTCATCACATGGAAGAAATCTATAGAATTATGCAAAAGAATAAAAGGGGGGAATTAGGGTCAGACACTACGACACAAAACACAGGGTACCATGAGAACGTTTACTTTCAAGAGGATGGAAAGAGGACATTGGCTACTATGTTTTCAACTTCCTGAAGGGTGCAGAGCACAGCAATCATAATATCCAAGGTCTTAGTGTTCAAAGGATATTAAAGGTCCTTTAATATAATCATCTTCAAAAACAAGAAAACAAAAACAGAAACAAACAAACATACAAAGAAAACCACTTTGCTCCCTCCATCTTTCCTGCCTCTCCATTCTCTTAGTGGCAATGGGAGCTGCTGTGTATCATGCAGTATATCCTTCTGTCTAAACAGCTTTCCTTGCAAATGTTCATTGTTTAATGTGTTGGTCTGGTTCAAGGCCTCTAGCTTCTGGTACACTATCAATACTGGACCCTTGCTGACACTCTTCTCAGATATCTGCTGCTTCCTTGAGTCAGTTTTCTGGTTTTTGTTTTGGCCCTTTGTTTTTTTTTTTTTAAATTAATATTCTTATTATATTTCTTTTTTTAATTTTTTCTCTTATATTTCTTTATTTTTATTATTTCTTTTTAAGGTTTCCCTTTGGGGGACATTACAAGGGTGAAGGGAAAATACATAGGGACGAGAAAATAAGTGGGGTTGGGGTGCACAATGTAAAATTCCTAAAGAATCAATAATAATTATGATTAAAAAAGACTGAAGATTATAATAATTTTAATATTTAGCATTCTGATTCTATGATTTCAATGTCTTTTCTTCCTACTACTCTGTTTTATTTTGAAGAGAAATTCTAGAATAAATATATTTAAATGGCTTGTACTTTGTTAACTACCAAAATGTATGCTAAAACAAACTCAAAAGGATTTAGTGACAGGTAACAGATAAATTACAATGAAATCATTTTCTGAAAAAAAAATAATTATCTTCAATATTTCTGCCTTCTGAAATAGACTCCTGGCAGAGCCACCCAGGCCCTGAGAAAACACTTGCAACCACAGGAGCTTACTACTATTTAAGATAGCTCCTTTTGTACTGAAACAAAGACCTGCTTGAATTTCCATTTACTAGCTCTCAGTTTTGGTTTTTGGAGTTTCTCAGATACACACATTCCCTCTTTTGACTACCCTCAAGACATGCCCACATAATCAAAACCATGGCTCTCTGGCCTTGGCATCCTTAGGGTGCCATTCATTCAGCCTCTCCTCTACAACATGAGAAAGAGAAGAGTGAATAAAGTAATGGTGTAATAAAGTAGTAGTAGTAACAGTGTAGTAGATAAGAGTCAGGATCAGGGTTAGGTATTAGGGGCAACGGATCAGAAATAGCACTGAATGTTATACAGAAAGATTAAGCAGTGACACTGAGAATTCAAATCCAATAAAAAAGGGAAAATAAGAGTGGTAACATCGGGACTAAAATCATCCATTCACCCATCCACTCACCCACCCATCCACTCACCCACCCATCCACTCACCTACCCATCCACTCACCCACCCATCCATCTTCCCACCCACCCATCCATCTTGCATATACAGAACATCTCCCAAGACTGAGATACAAGGCACTGCAGGAGGAAAAGAGAAGAGAAAGATTAGGTGCTTGACCTTGAGGAGCTTATATTCTATAAGGACTAATGTTAGCTAGAGCTACTAACAAGCACAACAAATCAACCTAATGACCAACTCTGGGGAAAATATGAGACTGCAGTGGAGGTCCAGGGAGAACAGGACATCATTTCCACAGGGTGATTCAAATAATCAAATCCAGGAGGGAGGCTCTGAGAAATCCTTGATCACTAGGACGTGAGTGGAGGTGAGATGTTAACAAGGGCCCTAGAGGAGCTTTTTTATACCAGTGCTTTTGCTAGGGAAGCTATCAATGAAAACGCTGAATGACTTAAGAGGTTGTACTTTCAGTAACCATGCTCATTGAAGCTTGACTTGATCTTTTCCCACACTAGAGGAAAGTATACGACCTTTAGGTAGAGAAGATGTGTGTGTAGTAGCAACCTTGGAACTAGATCTAGGAACCCATCAATGTAGTCTTTGTCATCACTTGCTATATGGCCTCAGGAAATCATTTCACAGGTCTAAGTTTTAATTTACTCCATAATAAAGTAACACTCATAGTACCTCCCAGAGTTTTGTGATGATCATGATATGGATGCAATAGCATCTAATATAGTCTGACATTAAATAATTAAATTAAGTTTTTAAAAGAAAGGTAGCAACAGCAAAAGAAAATTACAGAATTACATTTACAGAATTAATATACTCTCTGTTTACATGTTGGGCATCTATTTTGTGAAGGTTAATGAGAGGCAGAATATTTTACCTATGGAAGACATTGGATAGACTCTCTCAAAAACTAAAATTGGTTTCCTATCCCTATTATTCTATCTCTAACATTAGCAAACTCCAGATAAGTGCTGAACAGGGATGACAATCTAGATTTCTCTTAAAAACCACCAACTAGGTGGACAAGATGGCTAGATGTGCTCCTTTTCGAGATGAAATGTGTGGATGAATTGCTGTCCGGTACCTCTTTCTGGGAAGTCCACATTTTTACCTACCTTACTGCCAGGCTTGGGACCCCTCTTCTTTGGGAATTTCAACGGTTCAGCTGACTTGGATGGGGTAGAAGTGGGATGGGGAATAAGGATCTTGGGTGTTCGGCCCCGCTTCTTTCCTGGTTTGCGCCCCCTCTGCCCTGGCTGATGCTCCAAGACAGTTTTGGTGCTGAGGATGCTGGGCTTCTCAGTGTTCACATCAGATGCAGGGGAAGGATTCTTTGGAATCACAACTGTAAGAAAAAGATTCATTCTATTATCCCTCCTCCTGTATTCCCATCTGTCTTAGTCAGGGTTTCTATTGCTGCAATAAAACACATGGCCAAAAAGCAAGTTGGGGAGGAAAGGGTTTACTGGGCTTACACTTCCACATTGTAGTCCATCATTGAAGGAAGTCAGGACAGGAACTCAAACAGGGCAGGAACCTGGAGGCCCCTGCAGAGGTCATAGAGGGGTGCTGCTTACTGGCTTGTTCCCAGTGGCTTGCTCAGCCTGCTTTCTTAATGAACCCAGGACTACAACCCAGGGATGGCCCCACTGACAATGGGCTAGGTTCTCCCCCATAAATCACTAATTAAGAAAATGCCTTACAGCTGGGTCTTATGGAGGCATTTACTCAATCGAAGTTCCCTCCTTTCAGATGACAACAGCTTGTGTCAAGCTGACATAAGAGCAGCTGGCATACCATCCCAGACAGAAGGAAAAATAACTTGCATTTCTGTCCAAGAAGTTTGTTTAGGAACCTAGTTCCTTGGCATCTGACCTAGATGCTTAGAAAATTACAAAATAAATTGAATTTATTTTGGCTACAATTGAAAGTTTTTAATTATTACTAGTAGATGCAGGAAAATATTTAAAATTTCCCTAAGTATCTTAGAGAAGCATTATGACCCAAGTTCAAGGTGAAGCCTGTGGCTAGAACCAGAGGCTCAAAACTGGGACAGATCTCAGGAGTCTAAAGCCTTCTTCTGATGAGACTAAAGATCTAATAGAAGAAGAGGTGGTGCCTCTCCCAGGCTACTCAGGGAGGCAAGAACTTCTGTTTTCAAACTGAGCCCCAACAGCCAAGGTTACGTCGTCAACATGGCTGAGGCTTTAGCATGATCAGTGCAGTGAGGGGAGTGACATGAAAATGGAAATCGTTCTCCTCAACTTCAAGTGTTTGCTCTTTATTAACTTTAAGGTAAAAATCTGAAGTCTTTATTGTGATTCCCAAGAAGTTTGGGCTTTTGCCTCTGCCTTGCACTCTAGTTCTGCCTGATGTCATACTGCGTCACCTACCTTTATATCCTAGTTGCCCTATATATTGAGCTCTTTATTATTCTTGGTTGGACATGTATCAATACTTAGTTTTCAAAGCTTAAAATAGGAGCACATTCTTGTAGCACAAATTGTTAGAAGGTCTTATTAATAAAAACAAACCTGGAGCCAGGTATAGGGGTGAATGCTGAAAGATAAGAGAGACAGAACAAGCCACAGCCAACCTCACATAGCCAACTTCTCAGCTGATCCTATTTCCTCAAACTGGATGCCTCTCAGCTGAACTGTGCTGCTCAAAAGCCTAAAATCTTAGCCAGCCTAGTTCCTGGTCCTCACGCCTTACATACCTTTCTGCTTTCTGCCATCACTTCCTGGGATTAAAGGCATGAGTAACCAAGCCTGGCTGTTTCCAGTGTGGCTTTAAACTCACAGAGATCTGGATGGATCTCTGCCTCCCAAGTGATAGGGTTAAAGGCGTGTGCTGCCACTTTCTGGCCTCTATATCTAGTAGCTGTTCTGTTCTCTGACCCCAGATAAGTTTATTTAGGTGAACAATATTTTGGGGAACACAATACCACCACACATTCTCACTGAAGTCTTCTCTGACCAGGCCACCACAAAGTCAGCACTTCTAAAGTATTTTGTGGACATCTGTATTATAGGACTACTTAATTCTATGCCATTTATTCATCTTCTCCTCAAATGGAGAATATTTAGAGATAAAGAATATCTAATTCATTACAAAAATAGTTATTGAGCACTTGCTATAGGTTATATACTGTTTTGAGTCCTGGGCATAGAAAAGTGAACTAAGCAGACATAGTTTCCACTCATACAGTTTATCTCTTAGTGGGAGAAATGGAAGGGGAACAAATATAGAACATAATATCAGGGAGTGACAAATGCTAAGATTCATGTAGGATAAAGATACTACATTGTTTGGGAAGGCTTATTTTAAGAGAAAGTATTTACACACTGTTCCAAGGAACAAGCCTATGAAGACCCCATGGAGGAGTTTTCAAAGTCTATTTTGTAAGTCTAATGCATAGCAAACACACTCTGAAGTGGGAAGATATTGGTGTTTGACGTTAGCATGGCTGGATATAAGTTAGTAATGTGGAGAATAGCTTAGAGAAGAATAGCACAAGACTGAGTAGATCCAGCTGGGTGGATCGCCACTAAACTGCTTGCTATGCAAGCACAAAGACTTAAATCTGAACCCAGAATCCATCTAAAAAATACAGGCGGGGGCCGGGCAGTGGTGGCGCACGCCTTTAATCCCAGCACCCAGGAGGCAGAGCCAAGTGGATCTCTGTGAGTTTGAGGCCAGCCTGGTCTACAGAGTGAGATCCAGGACAGGCAACAAAACTACACAAAGAAACCCTGTCTCGAAAACAAAACAAAACAAAACAAATGAAGAAACAAACAAACAAAAGCTGGGTGTTGTGGTGTGTGCTTGTAATCCCAGCTCGGGAGAGACAGAGATAGGAAGACAACTGGGGTTCTGGCCAGCCAGCCTAAGCTATCTAGTGAAGTGGGCCAATGAGAGACCTCAACTCAAAAAACAAGGTGTGTATGTGGAGTGCTGGGGGATGGTACAGTCAGTAAAGTAGTTGCTGTATAAGCGAGAACATCTGAATTCAGACCTCCAGCACTTACATACATAATATAAATATAGTATACAAAGACATACAAGTACTTGAAACTACTGTATCCCATCAAAATTCCCAAAGTTAAAAGGACTGAAATCCATCCCTAACAATGGTGAAGGATGTGAAGGAATTAGAATACAACACTGCTGGTCTGAATATAAACTATTCTGGAAAAATGCTTAGTTGTATACCTTATTACCCAATGAAATAAATAAACAATATGGTCACCAACAGACATGTGCTAAGATATTTACCACAGCATTTTTCATGAGGTAAATGCTGGAAACAACCCAAATGACAAACAGAAGAACAGAATGTAGTATATTCATACAGAGAAACACCACAGGAAGCACAAAACAACTATTGCTAACCATTTTTATATGCAACAACAAAGCTGAATTTCACAGAAATATGCTACATGAAAGAAGTCAAATAAAAATTAACTGACAAAAAGCCAGAATATACAATTTATGAAGTTCGAAAATAGAAAAAAAGCAATCTAGATTGATAAGATGGTAGGTACCTTTGAGTGAGTTGGATATTATGAGGGAGCCTCTAGACGCTTAAAATGAACTATATCAAAATAAAAGAAAAAGAATAGGGCTGAGGAGACGGCTCAGTGCTTGCTGCTTAAGAATGAGGACCAGAGTTAAGACGCCTAACACTCACATGAAAGTGATAAAAGTGGACCCTGGTGGCGTGCACCTGAAACAGTGGATTCCAGAGGCTCATTAACCACCCAGTCCAGCCTAAAAGGCAAGCTCCAGGTTAGTGAGAGAACTGTCTCAAAAGGGGGCAGGTAGAAAGCAACAGAGGAAGACACCTCAAGTTGACCTCTGGCCTCCACATGTGCACACATGGGTGAGTGTACCCTTATACACACGTGAATACATGCACACACACACACATGCATGAACACTCCTCCCCCACCCCCCCAACACACAGAAAAGTATAATGGTGCACTGAAATCTTGATATTATTAGAGAAGAAGCAACTGGATTCAGAGTACATTTGAAGGAAGAGTTGATTTGACTGGATGTTAGAGTCAAAAATTAGCAAGCAAACCACAAAAGCATATTGAAAGTTCAATTAAAATCAATCTAATTAAAATCATACCTAATGAAAAAGGGAAATTATACATGGAACAATGTTACTAGCTGAAACAGTTGAGAATAATGATACCTTTTATTGAGATGGAAAACACTGGAGAAAGATCTGGAATTGAGTTTCTAAACTTGTTTCTTGTGAGCTGCCTATTAGATATTAAAATATGGAAATGTTAATTAGGGAATTATATATCTGAGTCTGGAATCCAAAGGAGATGCTAGAACTGAAGAAAAAATTTGAGAATTATCAGTGTGTTTACTGGTATGTAAAATCATTTGACTAAATGAGATTTTGTTGAGTATGAATACATAATCAAGAAAAGAGGGAAAAAGAGAGTTTCTAAGATACTTAATGTGCATCAGTTAGAGAGAAGAAGAGCTAGTAAAGAAATTAAAAAATGGTCCAAAAGTGAATCCCAAAGAAAATGAGTGTGAACTCCAAGAAGCCAAGTGAAAGGACAGTTCTAGGAAAGGGGAAAAGGCAGCACCTCAACCTACTGATCAAAGCTACTATCACCCCACCCAGAACACACCCAGTTTATTTTCTAATGTGATGGACTGAGAATACCACATATTTATCATCTCAGCTTCAAATAAATTATCTTGAGGTCAGGCACACCAAAACGGAGGTTCAGTTATTAAAACACAATTAGCTTTGTCAATGTTACAGAGAGAAAAATACAAGACTGTTCTAGACTCTGAAGGTGAACACGACATACAGTTAATGCAATATATGGTTTGATTTAGTCTGAAGGAAAACACATTTTGAAAAGGGATATTAGGTCAACTGATAAGATTTACATACTGATTCTGGTAACATCTGATGTCAAGCGTGGTGCTGAGTCACTAGGGTAGGGCATCATATGCACTGCTGAATCAATCAGAGGATATAGTTCCCCTATGATTTAGCAATTCCAACCATAGGTATAAACTCCAGGGAGCGTGCACCTGTATATCAGCATATGTAAAAAATGCTCATATTATTTTTAATAACTGACAAGTTGAAATGATCTAAACGTGCACTATTAGTAAAATGGGTTTAATCTACAGCACACACACATTTTAAAAAGAGAAGGCAGAGGGTATTTATATGCTGTGTAAGCTAAGAATGGTGGCTCAGATCTATAACACAAGCACTTGGGAAGCCAAGGCAGGTAGATTGTGGTGAGTTCAAGGTCAGCCTGAGCTAAAGAATGAGACTCCTCTGTCTCAAAA